CATATAGGTGATCCCCAAGCTGATCCATATGGAAGGGAAGGCCAGGTTCCCGTTGGAAATGACACATATCTCCTATGCCATGTCACTTACTTAGTAATTGTTATTGAATACTATATGAGTCCATTTACCATAGATCCTATGATGGCCACATGGGTGTCCTGGGGTTCCCTGCTTAGGCATAATTAACAGGGTGGTAAACCTCATATGGTATGAGGTGATAGTGACTAAAAAATTTTGTAAATTTTGTAGGGCATGTATCAATTCATTTTTTCTTTAAAATAGGTGTCTTAACGTTTGTGCCAGGTGAAATTCTTACTTCTTATTCAATTATGGCTATTAATCAGGGTAATTCTGAAGGGCAGTTGAAGATGTGAACTGGGATATAGATTTTTACTCCCATAGACAAATAGAACTTTTCAATTATAGAGTTTTTCTTCTCTTTTTAGTTTTATTTTTAGTTTTTTCTTCCTTTTATTCTTGTTGTTTTCTTTTTCCTTTTAATTATAGATGTAACTATTTTTTCTTTTTCGTTTCTCATTCTGTTTAAGGTTACATTTAATATCGACTTAAATATGTAGCTTTTTATTTAAATAAAAAAAAAGATAATACGTTTTTTACATTCATGATATCTTTATAAATAATTGGATTTGAGAAAATTTTGTGTATAAATGTATATGAGCGTATGAAGCTATAATGCTATATAGTGCGTATATATGATAATAAAGTACACAGATATAATTGTATTAGTGTAAGAAATATATAAACAATGGCTATCATCGAGATATGATTTATTCTTTATTTTAGAATTTAAGCTGTATGTAATAACTCTATTCATATAAGAAAAAAACAAATATTTCGTAAATGTTAAAAAAAAAATGAAATATATTTTATGAAAAAATTTTCAATAATTCAGGTTTGAACACTCTATATCGTTCTTTTTCTTCTTTCAAAATAAACGTTCCATTAAACTAGTTAAACCATATTCTTGAATATACCAACTTGTAGCATAAATAGACATGGTAATAATTAACCCTTAAATTCTTTGATTAAATATACACAAAAATCCATAATGTGTCTGAAGAATTATTAATCATGGCTGATTCAAATGATGTGACTTGTATAAAGTGAATAAGTGAATAAGTGAAATGAAAAAATTTGAAAAGATATAATAAAGCAACAAGGACTTTAAATTAAATCATTTTTATTAAATGAACAAGTTGCCTTAGTCCCTGACAGGGCGTTTCTAAACTGTTTAATGTGAGGCAATAACTTGAAATGAATAATACTAATAAATAACTATACATTGTATTAAGAAATGTCAAATTGTGTATTTATAAAATGAAAGTTTTTGGTGAAATCATATAGTTTGCCAAACCATTGATAAATCCACTATCTAATCCTTTGGATTTGACTTGACATAATACAGATACTGCTGAAGTAGTTTCAATTTTGCTGAAATAAAGTTGATTTCATTTGGCTAAAGTGATGAAATTATAACCTGAAGTTAAAAAATTAAATATGTGAAAGTAATAAAAAATTTAGAAACTCGTGTACTATGAAGCATGAACTGCACAAAATACCTGTAACTTTACAATACACAGGTAATAAAAGTGAGTTAAAAGTGTTTAATATGAGCTAGTTTGTAATAGCAAAGCATTTAATTTTTTTTTACAGTTGTAACATAAACAATAATTAAATAATATTCACATGATACAGATAATGATCACTGACGGCAAATGTAAAAAAAAATACTTTTTTAAATGAATAAATAAAAAAAAAGATTTTTAAATTTTTTTTTAAAATCACTGTCAAAATTTTATGTTAATTCAATAAAAATAATTTATTGTATTTATTGTACAAAAAAATTAAAAAATATATTTATTGAAAGTAATTTTCTTTTAAAAAAAAAATAAAAAAAATGA